CCCCAAAACCCCAAAACCCCAAAACCCCAAAACCCCATCTATATTTATATAGTGATTTCTAGCAAAACTGAAGTAGCACTTTAATTATATTTATGTATGTGTGTATGTTGTATTTGCATCATAATAATCTCAACTGCTTTTTCATAAAGTAATAGATGAATCAATTGAGTCAAGAGTATCCTTTGCAGTTGATCTGTGAGAAACAGTAGTCATTTCCATTGAATTATCTTACACCTCATCTTCTATTATGCTCTCTTCCTCATCGAAGTTGGTCTTTCCCTATTCTCCTTTCTCATTATATCCTAGATCTCTTAGTTGGAAACTCCATTCAATTCCAGTAAAAGGTACATTTCTAAATGATGGGGATAATATAGCGAAAGGGTTATATGTTCCAAATATCTTGTAGAGGTTATCCTGAATATTTCTGAAATAGAAGTCGTACTTTGTCACTCCTCCCTATGAAGAAAATATATATTTCTAGAAAAATTTACTCTATAGCTAGTAGCCCACATTTCAACTGTAGATTAGCCTGACATCGCCATGAACCAGTTCCATGCATTGAAGCCTCCAACAATCATTGCGAGGGCAGCATCAGTAATTATGATAAAGTTCATCATAGCTGAATTATCTCTATAGACATGATGGTTCCAAATGGCGAATATTGTAATCAAGTTAAAGCATAAGCCCACTAAAAGATACAAGTTAAAGAGTAGATAGTATCTATAGTTCTCTAGTCCAAGGCAGTTATTAACCCAAGCTACAGTTAAAAAACTTATCAATTAATAGAAATACTTACGAGAATGGTGATCCATTAAGAATATGCATTTATCGCAGACTGAGCAATGATAAGTCCTGATTGGCTTAATGAAATCGCAGGAGGAGCATTTTTTAGCCCAGCATGCTTCTAGCTAAGATACAGTTTTACTGCGATATCTCAGTAGTTTCTTGACATCTTTTGATACACCCTCGTATCTGTCATCTTCCACATACTTTATCTTGCCATTCTATTCAACAGTTTTCACTGCTTCAGTTCTAGATTCTCTATCCTTCAGCTCTTTTCTCATTCTCTCAATTTCCTACGTGTATTGATTAAAATTAAGTCTAATAAATCTATATTACTTTTAACTCAGTGGGACTCCCTGGTTTGATGACCATAGCGAAAAAGTGATTGAAAACTATATTATAGAGAATGCAAACTCCGATTCCGATCCATAAAAGTCCGAAACTCACTCCAAGTCTCTTTTTTAGGACTGTCAGTATGACCTCATAGTAGGCGAATACATGCACACTCAATAATGCATAGAAAGTCATTACAAATATTGGCCCAATGATTCGAATGAAAAGCCCAAGAGCTAAAAACAAGCATCAGTTTCAAAATCGAAGGTTTAATAATAGTGATTCTTACAGCTGAACATAGGACTAGCTGTCATATCTGCTAGTCGATCAAGAATAGAAGACATTAAATTTATAACTTTACACTAATATATAATATTAATATAATATTGAATGAATTTGATTTAAATAGTTTAACTTAATTGATGCTCCGAGAGAGCTGCAAGCATGAAGCTTTAAGCTCGCATATTGGCAACTCTCTACTCCATCGCTTAAGCCTTTATCTTCATAATTTTATTCACTACCTCTTCCTCAGTAGAATGAACTATCGAACTTGGTGTGAGTATGTGGCATAATTGTAGCCTTATCATACTCGTTCATCTCTGGAAGTGAGTATCCGTTTTCAGCTAATTGGCTGCTGGTTTCGTACCACCATACTGGGAAATGCTCCTATAAAAAATAAGGGACAATGTATTCATACTTTGAGTGTCTTTCTTAGATAACCACCATGAGGAGCAGGTTGAGCCATAATTTCATGGAAGGTTTTGGAAGGTCTTTGCCAGTTAGATGCTTGCACACTCAAGAAGGTGGCGAATGTCATTGCAACAGGCATTCTCAAGTACCATCCGTGAGCGGATGATTTAACAATTGGTCCCATCAATGGGAAAGTAAGACCCCAACCGATAATAACATGGCAAACAGCTTGTCCTGACATTTCTTGAAGTTGCCAAAAGTAGAGTTCCTTCATCTTTAATACCTCCCACTCAGTCAAGTAATCATCCTATTTTCAATAAATGTTAATATCTCATTCCATTTTATATATTTAATTACATCGATGTAAGTGAGCCAGTCCCAGTACTGATTGGAGGAGATCATGCAATATTTGTCGTGCTTCCAGAATCTTCTCCAGTAGACGGAGGGATTAAGTTTCTTTTCCATTTGCAAAATGACGGCACTTTGAGTGTCTGATGAATTTTCAGCTCCAGCTAAGCCCTACATTTTATCTTTAATAAATTCTTTATAATTCCTGCATATTAATTCTATAATATCACATGGGGTTTTGGGGTTTTGGGGTTTTGGGGTTTTGGGG